ATTCTATTTTTAGCATTTAACATGGTTTGTGTTGCTGATATCATAGTACCACCCAGACCAATGGATCCTAAAAAAGATTTGGCAGTGTATGGGATTGGAACAGTTGCATGGAAGAAAAGAATGGAGGATTGGAAGAATAAACAGAACAATAAACTCCTGGTGGTTAAGCATGAAGGAAGTAATGGAGATGATTTTGAGGGTTCTGACTTGCCGATGTACGTGCATTTACTCTCTGAAATTCTTTTTGCTTGTCTGAGTGTGTTTAAGTCTAGAAGTTTGTTCTTGCAACTGTTTGTTTAGTAGATTCCTTGTCCTTTTTTGGATTGAATCCATATAGAAATTGTCAAATGGCTTAAAAGAAGACCTGGCTGCTTCAGCTAGAGCCTGAGTTGCTAATCATTACTAATTGTTTATGACATAAGCATAATTGTTGCTTTTCTCAACGACCAATAATTTTTCCTTGTTTTTTTTTCTAATGAGAAATGACAATTTTATTTTTACTTACATGTTGTGAGCAAATGAATGCACCATTTTTCTATGTTGAAATAGTTTTCTCATACTGTATCTCAGGTCTCTGAATCAAACACTGTAGGCTAACTTTTATGGATTCATTAACACCTTTTTCTTCATGACTGTAAATGTAAATTTATGTGTTATCATAGGATGGATGAAGGCAGGCAGCCACTTTCAAGGAAACTACCAATACCCTCTAGCAAGATAAACCCGTACAGAATTATAATCCTACTCCGGCTTGCGATCCTGGTGTTGTTTTTTCACTATAGAATTCTGCATCCCGTGAATGATGCTTATGTTCTCTGGCTTATTTCAGTCATTTGTGAAATATGGTTTGCTGTATCATGGATATTGGATCAGTTCCCGAAATGGTTCCCAATTGAAAGGGAAACATACCTTGATCGTTTATCATTGAGGTGATTTCATCTTCCTTTATCCTCTTCCCTTCCCCATTCTTTTTTTTTCATTGTATCTCAATTCCTCTCTCCTTGCTTCTGTACTCACACTAAACTCGTGTGCATATCAAAGAGGAAATTCAGTTTTAGCTATTATTAATTTTATTTATATTATTGGTTTTTCTCCTCTTTTTTAAGGTATGAGAAAGAAGGGAAGCCATCTGAGCTAGCTTCTGTAGACGTATTTGTGAGTACAGTTGATCCAATGAAGGAGCCACCGCTTATCACTGCAAATACAGTTCTGTCTATCCTTGCTGTAGACTATCCAGTTGATAAAGTGGCTTGCTATGTCTCTGATGATGGTGCTGCCATGCTCACGTTTGAGGCTCTATCTGAGACATCTGAATTTGCAAGAAAATGGGTACCGTTTTGTAAGAAGTTCAGCATTGAACCTCGAGCTCCAGAATGGTATTTTGCTCAGAAAGTCGACTATTTGAGAGATAAAGTAGATCCAACATTTGTTAGGGAACGCCGGGCCATGAAGGTTTGTAATATTTCCCCCCCTAATATTGATATGTTTGCTGTGGCTAAGTATCTGCCATTTGACTAGCTTACCTGCATGAAAGAACCAAGTGTCGACCAAAACATCACATTACTTGAGCATAAAACTTTAGCAGGAAGAGAGTTTGTTTATATGCCACCGGAAAAAAAAACATAAACTTATATAACTGCTATTTCGTTATTCTTATGCATGGCATTTTTTGTCCTTAAAACGAGTTTTCCAATGATTTTAAGACATAATGTTTCATATTTGGTGTTGCTCATTTGTTGATGCAGAGGGAATATGAAGAGTTCAAAGTTAGAATAAATGGCTTGGTTGCAATGGCACAAAAGGTTCCAGAGGATGGTTGGACAATGCAGGATGGAACTCCATGGCCCGGAAACAATGTCAGGGACCATCCTGGAATGATCCAGGTGAGCTGTTATTCGTTAAATGCTGTTTGGGATTCGGTTCAGATGCAATTATCCAGCCCCCACATTTTTTGCAGTATGCATTAACATGGTAAACATTTGGTATTCTTTGTTTTAGGTTTTCCTTGGTCATGACGGTGTTCGTGATCTTGAAGGGAATGAATTACCTCGTCTAATTTATGTTTCTCGAGAAAAGAGACCAGGATTTGATCACCACAAGAAAGCTGGGGCCATGAATGCTCTGGTATACTCCTCTCTTTCTCTCTATCTCTAGGCATGCAGCTGTGCGGTCACAACACAGTCTCAGCTTGGCATGCCCTTTGATCTTTCTGTTGTCTGGTTTTATGTGATTGTAATAATTTGTGGTTGATTTATGAAGGTTCGTGTTTCTGCTGTCATCTCCAATGCTCCTTTCCTACTGAATGTTGATTGTGATCACTACATAAACAATAGCAAGGCTCTTCGTGAAGCCATGTGTTTCATGATGGACCCTATTTCGGGCAAAAAAATCTGCTATGTCCAGTTTCCTCAAAGATTCGATGGCATTGACCGACATGATAGATACTCAAACCGAAATGTTGTCTTTTTTGATGTAAGTATGATTTGTCAAACTTTAATTTTGTTGACACGTTTCTTTGTAAGAGGAGAAGCTGACATCTTGTTATTTTTTTTTTCAAAAAACAGATCAACATGAAAGGCCTGGATGGGATTCAAGGACCTATTTATGTTGGAACTGGATGCGTCTTCAGGAGGCAGGCACTCTACGGATATGATGCCCCTGCCAAGAAGAAGCCTCCAAGAAGGACATGCAATTGTTTGCCAAAATGGTGCTGCTGCTGCTTCCGATCTAAAAAGAAGAATAGGAAATCAAAGTCCATTGATAAGAAGAAAAATGAGGTTTCAAAGCACATACATGCTCTAGAAAATATTGAAGAGGGAATTGAAGGTAATTATTTTCCTTCATTCGCTTCCAGTATGCATTTGCAAAATCTTGGAATACTCTTCCTTCAGACATTTTGTTCCCATCAAAGTTCGGTTTTCCATATATACAAATTTATTGCCGCAAACCTAGAATTATTCCACTATTTTGTTGTTAGGATAGGTGTTAAGATTATTTTAGAGCCTTATTACTTATAGTGCCATCATCTGTGTCGCAGGTATAGATAATGAGAAGTCGACCCTTATTCCACAAATCAAATTCGAGAAGAGATTCGGTCAGTCACCTGTTTTCATTGCTTCAACACTTATGGAGGATGGAGGAATCCCGAAGGGAGCAACCACTGCATCACTGTTGAAAGAAGCAATTCATGTCATCAGCTGTGGTTATGAAGATAAAACAGATTGGGGGAAGGAAGTACGTCAAAAGTGTCCTGAACTTGATAAATTAATTTGTCTTTTGAAGTTTTTTCTTAGTTATTGAATTTTGATAATGATGCTCATCAATTCCTATAATCATTCAGGTGGGATGGATATATGGCTCTGTTACTGAGGATATATTAACAGGCTTCAAGATGCACTGCCATGGCTGGCGGTCAGTGTACTGCATGCCGAAAAGGCCTGCATTTAAAGGTTCAGCTCCTATTAACCTCTCAGATCGTCTGCATCAAGTTTTACGTTGGGCTCTGGGATCTGTTGAAATTTTCTTGAGCAGGCATTGCCCATTATGGTACGGGTATGGTTGTGGATTGAAACCCTTGGAGCGCTTTTCGTATATTGCTTCTGTTGTGTACCCTTTGACATCAATTCCGCTGCTCGTGTATTGTATACTTCCGGCTATCTGTCTCCTTACTGGAAAGTTTATTGTTCCTGAGGTAATTCTGAATTTCTGAGTAGCATATCTTTCTAACATGCATACTTAATTATTTCGAGATCAATTAGTTAAAAACATTCGGCTAGGATTAGTCATTTTATACTGTTTGTAGGTGATACTATGAGTGCTCATTGTCAATACTCAACATTGTAGCAAAGCTCATATGATACCGGAAAAGTATCCCTCGATATGCCGAGGGAATTACAAAATTAGGATGCTGCATTTTATCTGGCTTTGTCAGAATTTCAGCTAATAATGAATTTTCTATTTGCAGATTAGTAATTATGCCAGTCTCCTTTTCATGTCTCTCTTCATAATCATAGCTGTGACTAGTATCCTAGAAATGCAGTGGGGAGGTGTCGGAATACATGACTGGTGGAGAAATGAGCAGTTCTGGGTGATCGGTGGTGTCTCATCACACCTATTTGCTCTCTTCCAGGGTCTGCTTAAGGTTTTAGCAGGAGTTAACACAAACTTCACTGTTACATCGAAAGGAGGAGACGATGGGGAATTTTCCGACCTGTACATATTCAAGTGGACAACTTTATTGATTCCTCCCATGACGTTGTTGATCATCAACATAATCGGAGTAATAGTTGGGATTTCGGATGCCATCTCAAACGGATACGACTCATGGGGGCCACTTTTTGGGAGGCTGTTCTTTGCATTATGGGTCATCGTTCATCTTTACCCCTTCCTCAAGGGGTTGATGGGGAAACAAGACAGGCTTCCCACCATTATTGTGGTTTGGTCAATACTTTTAGCATCGATTTTCTCTCTTTTATGGGCTCGGGTCAACCCATTTATATCGAAAGGAGGCATTGTTCTAGAAGTGTGTGGGTTGAAATGTGACTAAAAATACAATAAAAAGAAAAATGAAACAGAGTTGAGCGATTTTGGTCGAAGATGAAGATGAAGATGACATCCCTCGATTCAACATGGCCGCCTCAAATACGATGTAAAAGGTGAGGAAGAAGGTGCTTGTAGATGCATATATAGAAATGTGATCCTATTTGTTGGTGTTGAGTTTCCCTTCATTTTGATTCTTTATATAATTTTGTGGGTTTTGTGGGCTAGAATGTATTGATTTCATAAAGTCCTCTGTAATCTCTAAGATACTTGATAAATGTTGTTCCCCCCCCCCCCCATAATGTATCATTGCAAGTTCAAAACTTCACCGAACAATGAAAATATATAATCAAATCAAATATTCACAAATATAACATGAAGTTCTCACATTTCTACAAACAAGTGCATGAGATATGCTCGAAATGTCATTAATCTAATAAAACAACCATAAACAGCCCGTTTCAGATACGCTGTAGCGGAGGCCTCAGCTTGGATGATGTTTTAGGCGTTGTTATGTTGCCGATCTGTTCCGTTTTGGTGCTACCCTCATTCTCCTTCATGTCATGGAAAATGGGTCGCTTTGGTGTTCTTTGAATCAAACCAAACTTTCTCTTCCTCTTCATTATGGAAGACATCAAATGCTTAACCGGCACACTGTTGCTTCTCTCCATTTTCGAACTTGAATTTAGAAAGTTCGGTTCAGTTCTGAAGGCTGTTTCTTCACCATCCGCAACTACAACACAATTAACCAATGAAATTATGCTAAAAATAAATAAAGAAACATAATGCGTTTAAAGTGTTGGTTTTATTTTGGGGCTGTTGTAATTGAAATGTCCAAAATTAAACAGATCCAACCATTGACAGATTCTGAACTCTTTAAATCGGGAGATTTATATGCCACTGCTGCATCCAGCCCTGAGAGTACATTCCTCAACTCCATTGTTTCTTCAGTATCTTCAGGTCCATCCTTTCTCACATAGAAATTTGTGTTCTCAACATCTGATTTAGCAATATGATCACCCTCTTTAATGTCACTTGAATTGAATTTTGCGACGGCCATGTCTAAAGCAACATCATTACTATGACCAGCCTTTGCATCTGAATTTTTAACGTCATCTTCAACCCCAAACAACAATCTCATCTCCATGATGGTAAAGATGTTTGATTCATCAGGATTCTCTAGGTGTTTACGTTCTGCTCCGTTTTAACATCATCAGTGGAAACAAATTTTGTCTGTACTAATCTACAAGAGTTGTTTCCTTTACAAATCAGTAATTGAAATGAAGGGAATGAACGGGTTCTTACCATCAGAAGAGCAATCCAAAACCTTCTCAGGTTTCTTTGAAGGAACAATGTTTAGCTTACTACAGCTTTCAACTTCCCTGGAATCACGAGCTGTGGTTTCAGGAAAATGTAAGGCATTTGGTTCCTCAGTCTCTAGGTTCGCATCTGAATGGTTAATGCCATTCCTGTTTGTGTCAGGCTTCATGGATCCTTCACAATCATCAGATTTTGCTCCAACAAGTTCTTCGAGACCTATCTTGCTCTCATCTTTGAAGGAACCATCAGTTACATCATTAAAACCTACGGAACTGATCTGGCACCCATCTATTTCCTCCCTTGTAACTGTATCATGATCATGAAACAGCAAACCCAGTAATTACAGTCAGCTCCTCTAAAGGATGAAAAGTTTACAACCTTTGAGTATAAAAGATGAGTCCTCAATCCAATTAACAACTATACCTATGCATTCAATAGAAATCTCAGTTTCCACGGCATTGTTGATGGCTTGATGCCATCCATAGCTTGTGGATATTCTTTTTCTGCTTTGCCACAGGAAAAGAAAACAGAAATAAGTCATAATTTGATAAAAAGATAGAGATGTACTTTTAGTTAAAAATGGAAACTGCATCAAGTCATTTTTTTCTCTGTATTTGAAAAAAAAAATGAAATAGTTGAATTACCAATACTGATTTCAGGTTTGCTACAAGGTGTATCAGCAGATGACGAGACATCTTCCTGTTCACCATGTGAAAATCTTGAGAAACAAGTGATTTTTCACCATCCTCGACCCTAGCTTCTTCAATGGTGAAGGCAATATCAAATTGTTTTGCTGCATCACTATCACTTATCAACTTTTGTTCGAGATTGAGGGTAGCTACTTTTTAAAGTGCTCCCCAATGGGAAGACCACTGGAATGTTATCCACGGCCAGGTCAACAATTGATGTCAAACCATCTACTCCGAAAGAAGAGCTACAATCATGTTCAAGTTCAACCTCTTCACCATGATTATCATGATCCCGATAGTTCTCAGCTTCCATGGCCGCAGGTAGCCAGGTACATTTGATATCTCTCCTGGATACTCGGTGCTCGGAATCTCAAAAGTATCAGTTTCTTGAAATATTGGATCTGTGACACTCATATTGGGGTCACGCAACTCTGCATCCACATTGCCACCACCGCAGTCAATAAGCTCAGCTTTCAGGGGTGATGTTGCTATTTGCTCCACCATGTTATCCTCTTGTACAACATCTGTTTCACCACTCACACTGATTCCATTGCTATCCATGGTTGCAGCAAAGTCTTCAATGAAAGGATGACACAACTCTTTCACCACTGGGATTCGTTTCTCCATCCACCAACGCATGATCAAGAGGGCTCATTGAAAAAGATTCCGAAGTGAAAGGTGTAGTCCTTAACTCGGATGGCAATCAGTGCCATTACCAAAAGCCCTAGCATTGACTTCTTCGGTTTCAGCACCTTGAGGCAAAATATTTGTTGGAATTCCGTCTCTTGTATCCATGCAAACTGCCTCAGATTTTTCTTGCATGTCATTGATGGAATGCTGAAAGCTGTTGTTGGGCAATTTCTCGTTCCAAATACCTGAAACAGGCGGAAAAGAAAAGTCCTTGATAAATAATTAGAGGAAAATGATAATCTATTTAGCATATAAAATTCTTTTGTTCTTGTCCCAAGAATATCTAGCCAACTGCTACATTCTTCCTTTATTTTTTACTTTCTATAATTCTTCAGAAATCAAGCAACAGTAAGATGTACTTTAACAAAAAAGGGATAATTCTAATGCACTAGCATTGTGGATAAACATCACCATGAGAAGAATTTCGAAATATATCATTACCCTTATCTTATGGTGAAACCAGACCTGCTACTTCTCCATAAGAAACTTCAAATGTAAGTTTCACCTCTATTTCACCTGAAACATCGCTAAAGCTTCCATCCGAGATGTCCATTTTTTTAACTATTACACATTGACTGTCAATACATTCTTAAACTGGATGATAAACGCCATCTTCCCTAGACTTTCCTTCAGAACTCTGATCATTAATATTTTTTCCACTGACCAACAACACCGTTTCAGATTTTATTGTGTCTTCATTTTTCACTATTTTTGCATTTTCTTCAATATTTAGCCGATCAGGCATTGCACATGCTGCATTGCTAACATCAGTTTCAGCTCTATAAGTTGTACCTGCAAACAAGTGTATGGTAAAAAGTTCAATCATTAAACTGCAGCAAGTTTGATGATTGCACATCCTGCACTGCTAACATCAGTTTCAGCTCTATAAGTTGTACCTACAAGTAAGTTTGATGATAAGTGTATGGTAAAATGTTCAATCATCAAACTGCCTGGATCTTAACATAATATCATCGTTCAATATTCCAGAAAGACGGATCAACATGCATATGGGAGGACGACTAGCAGTGCTGGTTTGAGAGATGCTGTGGAGAGATGCTGTGGATAGGTGGCGACCTCCGGTGGCGGGGTGATTAAAATAAATAAGGATGGTGCCTTTGATGATGCGCGTCGTATTGCTGCAGTTAGTGTTATTGCGCGGGACATGAGAGGTCAGGTTCTTGGAGGTAATGGCCAACCATCTATAGGATGTTTCGAAGCCGGGCTTGCGGAGTATCATGCTCTTCTTGCTGGGCTTCGATTTGCTTCTGATAGAGGGCGGACGGACATTCATTTTGAAACGGATTCATTAATGCTTGTTCAAAAGATTACAAGGCTTACTGATGTTATATCTACACTTGGTCTTTTTGTCAAGCAAGCTCGTGCAATCTTTCACTCTAATCTTGAGTTTCATATTTCTTTTGCTCACCGTACTTGTAATATTGTTGCTAACAAATTAGCTAATTGGGCTATTATGGCCGGTGACTCTTTGTTTTTTTTTACTCGATTTGTCTCGAGATTATTTCGAGTGACATAATGGTCGATGTAACTGATTCTTGATATATGACAGTTAGGGATTTTTAACGAGGTACGTACATGTTATCTTCAAAAAAAAAAAAAAATCCAGAAAGTTAAAAAGATAGAAAGTGAGGATACCTTGGTAACCTTGGCTGACTACTTGAGTTCTAAGAGGACTTATAAAATCTTTATCGCGAATGCTTATGCTCCATTGCAGTGCTATAATTGTTGTTTGACCAGTGGCTTCACTCATTTCATCGGTCTCAACTGAACTTTCAGTTTGTACCATTCCTATACCAGACGAATCACCAGATACCTTTGTACCACCACTTTCACAGACTTTATTCAAGTGATCTCAGAAAACTACCTCCTGAACTGGTTCAGCAGCAGTTTGGTTGGTATCTTCTAAGTGCATTGAACTCTTATCCTCTTGAGTAAGACGTGTGTCCCCTTCAACTTCCATTTTGTCACCTTCCCATAAAACTACCTTCTGAACTGCTCCAGCAGCAGTTATGTTGGTATATTCTGATCCTCTTGAGGAAGACTTGTGTCCTCATCTACTTCAATTAATGAGGACCGATGATGATGACGAATGTTTGAAATTAAAAATTTTAGGTTTATTTTAGAGTTTAGAGAATTTTTTTGATTTTTTTTTGAAAAATAATAATAAGTAAAATAAATTAAAAGATTTTAAAAAATATGAGAATGTCACAATTTGGATGATTGATAATTTTTTTAACAGTTATGATAAAATATGCAATTAAAATAATAATGTAAAAAATATTTAATATTTATCTTAACCTAAAGAAAACTTACTCTTAAAATGGAAACAAAAGTATAGTTTAATTAGTTATTTTTTTAATTGAGCCCGTATTTATTTATATTTGTTTAGCGAATAGGCCCAAGACAAACCAGGGCCGATTTTTTTGCGTTTCAACCGTAGGATCAAAATCGTAAATATCCAAGGGCGGAGATAAAAGCCCTAAAGACATAAACATTGGATGCGAACTTGTTCAATCCCTGGGTTCTAAAGAAACCAAAAACCCTCATCTCTCAACCTTCCATTGCAGTCGCGGCGCATCAACTCTTAAGTCATAAAAGGTTAACATCTCGTTATTTGATTTATCAGTTGTGAATCATTGACATTCTAAAAAAAGTATTTTATTTTCGTTAGTTTTTTTGTCACTCTTATTTCATCTCTCACACTTTGTCTTTAGATCTGCTAACTTGGGTTGTTTCGGTTTAAAAGTTTGTATTTATGGGAAGATTTTTAAGTAAAAGAATGCATGTAGTTGAGATGTACATTTTTTTTATAGATTTGAAGACGGTTTTCATGTTTACATGCATTCCTTTGAGCTGCCTCAACTTATATTCTCTTAGCTTTGAGACTTAATGACATTGGGCAACTCACGTTCGAGTTTCTTGTTAAGCTTTTATGTTGTAGTCAAGCCCGTATCCTCGTCTCTGCAAATATCTGATTATATTATTATCTTTTGGTGACTTCACTATATCATTTTACCCCACCATTTTCCATTGATTTTCCTTTTCCCTTCTGTTTTTTAATAAAATATTTTTGCTTACAATCTTTGTTGTTCTATGACAGCTGAAAAGGGTTCTTATATTTTACTTTAATTGCTGCCATATTAGTGGCTGCAAAAAAAAATGGTCAAGTGATGCTGATTTTTAGATTTTAATTCATATCTCATCTTCACGGTGTATGATTGTTTCTTATGCTTGAACTGTAGTTTCTTTTGTTTATTTAATCCATTCTGTTATGTGTTCTCATAAACATGTTACCTTTACTTGTTTGCTGTTATGAGCAGATGAATGTGGAGAGGCTCACAAAGATGGCTGGTGCAGTCCGCACTGGTGGAAAGGGTAGCATGAGAAGGTATGCTGATTGTGTAGAATTTCCGTAGATAGGTTAGTTATATGAAGTTTTATTGATTGGTCATCTGCAAAATTTTGTACATAAGTGCTGTTAAGTGGTTTAGGAGAGGCTCTTGAATCAAATTTTTTCCTGCTGCGCTTTATTTGCTAACATGTCAAGTAGAATCTTTTATCTGCCTTCTTAGTCTTTCCCAACTTCAATTTTACTGAAGTCATTCTCATTCTTATAAAGTGCTTTAATTTTGATGTATTATTGTAGTTTGCGTATCCTTATCATGTTACTTTTACCTATGTTAACAGAAAGAAGAAGGCTGTACACAAGACAACTTCCACTGATGACAAACGGCTACAGAGCACCCTCAAGAGAATAGGGGTGAATGCTATTCCTGCTATTGAGGAAGTGAACATATTCAAGGATGATGTTGTTATCCAGTTTACTAATCCGAAAGGTAGATATTTCTTTTTCGAAGTGGACCTCATAATTTTTTTTTCAAATGTTTTGCATAGTAACTAATATGTGATGGTTCATATTTCAGTCCAGGCTTCTATTGCTGCCAACACTTGGGTTGTTAGTGGTTCCCCTCAGACAAAGAGTAAGACACTCAACTTCAAAGCCTTGGAAAGTTGATCAAATCTTACTGCTATTTACCCTTTGCAGCTTTCCTTTTCTTTTTTTCTTTTTCTTTTTTTGCCTTGTTATCTTTACATGTGCTTTTTCCCCTATTTCAGAATTGCAGGATATTCTCCCTGGAATCATCAACCAATTGGGTATCATACTCTTGGCTCTGTTTGTCAATTTTGTTATTGTTTCTTGATTGCAAATTGGTGTAAACTTTTGACCCTTACCCGCAAACTTATAGGGCCAGATAACTTGGAGAACTTGAGGAAATTGGCAGAACAATTCCAGATGCAGGCTCCTGCTGCTGATGGTAGTGCTCAGGAAGAGGATGATGATGAGGTACCAGTACTCGTCCCCGGTGAGACCTTTGAAGCTGCGGCAGAAGGAGGCGAAGAGGCTAAATAGTGATTTTAGAGGGATTTTTTGTTGTGCCATTTTTCATGCTTTTTCTTCCTGTTTTACTCTGTTGTTCTAGGTGGTGCACTCACTTTGTAGTCTTAATGTTTTGGTTCATGTTTCTAGAATTCCTGCAATTGCTGACTTGGTATCAATATACTGCAATTGGTAGGGTTTCTTTATTTTTTGCCCCTTGCTATTTGCTATTGATTACCCTCGATGCTCAAAGTGCAGCCCTTTGATGCTTTCTTTGCTAGCATTGTTTACTACTGGCTTTAGCACGATAACTAAAATGCCCTATTTTACAGTGGATAATGTCATGTGGCTTTTGTTTCATTGAAATTGAGTACTAAATTTGATTTTTTTATTGATTTTTGCTTAACGGTTTTATTTTCACTTATGTAATAATTATTTTTTATGTTAATACTTATGAATCGAATGATTATTTTGTATTTAAAATTTATGTAATATAATTCCTTTTATTTATAAAAATACATTATACATTGAATATTTTTAAAAAGTTATCAATAAATATAAAATAATATAACAAATAAATCGATATTGATATGTATTAGTCTCGGTAAAAAAATAATACATCTACTTACGTAATATTAATTATTTACGAAAAGTAAGGATATCTTGATAAAATTTTAAATGATTTTCACATTTATACTTTTATAACAATAATAATAGATACATATACATATATTATAAGTTATATAGTTTATAAATATAAATAATTAAAATGTGTATTAATAATATTAAATTTAAGATAATTAGAAATTGAAAATAACAGAGAGCTGAATAATCATTTACTAAGATGTGATATTAATTAATTACTAAAAAAGCCCAACAAAGCGGGTCTGAATTTATGTTATAAGAAACAACAACTAGGGTTTTAGTGATTCAGCAACTTGGGAGTGGGAGCAGCCGCATCCAGCAAGCAAGAATAGCAACCGCAGGTAACTCCCAACTCACTTCTTATCCATAGAAAATGGTGTGAAATGAAAGATAAATAAACCATATTCTCATTTTGTTCTTGTATTTGTATCACTTTGTAAATCTTTATGAGTTCTTTTATTGAGTTGTAGGTAATTAACACTTCCTGTTTTGGCTCTTTTATTCTTTTTTTCCCCTGTTAGAGTATAGATCTATAAGAAGAACATTTCTTTGTTAATACATTTTTTGGGTTTTGTTTATATTTTGGGGTGAAGGAGAGCAAGAATGTATCACAGGAAATTTGAGCACCCAAGGCATGGTTCCCTTGGATTCCTTCCAAGGAAGCGAGCTTCTCGCCACAGAGGAAAAGGTATTCGCTTTCAGTTTCTCTTGTTTATTTGACAAAAATAGTATGCTGATGATATAGCTGTAGAAATTCTAGTATTGCAACTGATATGTACCTATTGTGTTTTTATCTGATCATGTTTTCTGCTGGTGCAGTGAAGGCATTCCCAAAGGATGACCCCAGCAAACCTTGCAAGCTCACCGCCTTTTTGGGGTACAAGGCGGGTATGACTCACATTGTAAGAGAGGTCGAAAAGCCTGGATCTAGTAAGTTTGTTTTCATCAAGTAACTTCCAAAATTATTTTTATTGTTTGTTTGAAATGCAGTTATATTTTTCTTTGAGCTTTTTAAACATTTACCTGGAAGTGCATTGAGATTCTTTGATTGAATTACGTTTATATAATGGTTTATACATCTTTCAAATTTGCCGGAATTTTTGTTGATTTTGTATCCTCTATTTCCGTATAGAGCTTCACAAGAAGGAGACATGCGAAGCTGTTACTATCATTGAAACCCCTCCTATGGTGATTGTTGGGGTCGTTGGATGGCCTCCGCTCCTTGAACACTGTCTGGGCTCAGCATCTGAGCGAGGAAGTCAAGCGGTGGTTCTACAAACACTGGTGTAAGTCCAAGAAGAAGGCTTTCGTCAAGTACTCAAAGCAGTATGAAAGTGAAGATGGGAAGAAAAGCATCCAGGCTCAGTTGGAAAAGATGAAGAAATATGCAACTGTTATTAGGGTTTTGGCCCACACTCAGGTTATAACAATATCCGACATAATATTGTTTCTCATAACTGCATTTTTCAATTTTTCATTTCTTGTGCATGGTTTTCATATTACAGATTAGGAAAATGAAGGGATTGAAGCAGAAGAAGGCACACCTAATGGAGATCCAAGTCAATGGTGGAACTATTGCCGACAAGGTTGATTTTGCTTACAAGTTCTTTGAGAAGCAAGTCCCCATTGATGCTGTTTTCCAGAAGGTTGAAATGATTGATATCATTGGTGTCACAAAGGGTAAAGGTTATGAAGGTGTTGTCACTCGTTGGGGTGTAACACGTCTGCCCCGCAAGACTCACAGAGGTCTGCGTAAGGTTGCTTGTATTGGTGCCTGGCATCCTGCTAGGGTCTCCTTTACAGTTGCCAGGGCAGGTCAGAATGGATACCACCATCGCACTGAGATGAACAAGAAGGTCTACAGGGTTGGCAAGGTTGGTGATGAGACCCACTCTGCCATAACCGATTATGACAGGTTAGTCCATTTGTCTATTTAT